AGCAAGTTCAGGTTCTTGATTCGCTCCCTTCTTAATAATTGGAGACATTTAAAAAGTCAATCTGACTCATAACAATAGCATCAAAATATTTGTTGATGCTGCCTTTCATGTGGTATTAGAGGATGAGCACCTTGGTGTGACTAAATCTCTAAGACATACTTTTGTGGTTGAATCTAGTTTTGGAAAAGTTTCAGGCTTTAAGCATAAGAAGAACTAGTTTAAAGATGAAAAAAAAAAAAAACTAGATAGGGATCTAAAAAAACAAACCTAAGTGCAATAGAAGGGTAAATAATTTGGAAAGAAGAAAGATAAGAGCAAGCTGAAATGTTTCAACTATCAGGTGTTAAGTCACTTTGCTCGGGAATGCCTTCAGCTAGAGAATATGGATTTGATACATGCATGTTAGATTAGGACATATTGGGCAAAAGAGAATAAATAGCTTAGATAAAGAAGGCTTGCTAGGTTCTATCTCTAAGGTTTCGTTCCTTATTTGTGAAAATTGCGTAATCGAAAAAACAATACGAAAATCATTTGGTAAAGCCTTAAGAACCGAACATCCATGGCAGTTAGTCCATTCAGATATATGTGGCCCTCAGAATCAAGGGCAAGATATAGGGCCTCTTATTTCATTACTTTTATAGACAATTTATGAGATATAATTATATCTATTTGATTTCTCATAAGTTAGAGACATTAGAATGCTTTAGACTTAAATAAGAAAGAATATCCAATAGAGAGAAAGACAAAAGCCTTAAGAACTAATCGAGAACGTGAATATCCTATCCGAAGAGATCTAAGAACTATATAATGATAAAAGAATCATCAGACAGCTGACTATTCCTACTCCACCTCAACAAAATAGTGTTGATGAGAGAAAGAATAGAACGTTGCTAGAAATGGTGAGGTTCATGATGGCGTAGGCTAACTTACCTATTTCATATTGAGGAGATGCTTTGTTAACTATGACTTATATTATGAATAAAGTTTCCTCTAAATCGGTACTTGCTACACCATATTAGCTCTGGACAGTAGATCTCCTGATTTGAGTTCTCTTAGTTCCTAGGGATCAACTACCTATATCTATGATTCCTCAAATAAGTTAGAAAAATTGGGTCCACGAGACAAAAGGTGTATCTTTATAAGATACTCGGATCAGTCCAAAGGATATGTATTCATAGGTGAAATTCAAGATGGGACTATAATTGAGATAGAGTCACGTGAGACATTTCTTGAGAGTATTTTCTTAGTAATAGAGAAATTAAAAAGGAAGAATCTTTGTATGAATTAGATAATATAGTTTAAACTCAATGAATCAACTAAGGTGCAAGAAGAAACACTTCTACCTGTCGATCCAAGTGGGAGCAATTTATATCTAACTCTAAGTAATAGTGTCACATCAGAGTTTTACTTTGTAAGAATACTAGAAAAAGTATGTCTAAACATCATTATGAGATTGGAGGGCTAGTTTTCGCAGTATCTCCAGAAAATGATAAAAAACCAAAATCAGTACAAGAAACTCTATCTTGCCCTACAAAGGAAAAATGGAAGAATGCAATGAAAGAAGAGATGAAACCTATGAAATCGATGCGAAGGCCTCCGATTATTGTAAATATTTTTCTCACTGGAGGCCGGGAGTTTGAGACATTAATTAGTACTAGCGATGACTCCGCATGTCTTGGCGTTATCTCTTGAAATCGCCCTCTAACACCTGGGTAATGAGGCTTTCAACTCTTAGACGCTTCATACAATCCACCCTGCTGGCTTCGTAGCTTGCCATTTTAAGTAGTTCAAAGCACACATCCGTATCATTGCCCCTGGTACAATGGATTTTACAGAATTTTGCCTTCTAATTTTCAGAGGATGGATATGCTTTACCTTTGATCTATGAAGGAGATTAACAAGATCGTAAATGCAGGAACCATTACCTCGACAATCTAGATGGATATGTAGAGGCTTTTTCCTTGAGGTTTTCCATCCGACATTGCTCTATCTTCTTCCGATTTCAATTGTATCTTTTGTCTGGATCTCATTCTATTTCAAGCTTACCAATTGTTGGATTTTTGTTGTAGACATCTTGCCAGAGTGGAGCTTCCATTAACGAACTATTTCATAAGGTATCCCTAGCCTTTTTGTCTGATATGATCTCACAAGTAATTAATTCAGTAATAAATCATGCTAAGTAACTTTTGTGGAACTCTCATCTTCTTGCCTTATATCAGTCAATATTGTAGCCAGTGCCTGTCCCAACCTACTTCCAACGAACATCCATAAGAATGCCTGCTTCATTTGTAGCCAACTTTTGATCAAGCTTAATGTCGACTTACTATAGCATCATTTAGTTAGTGCATCCAATGTCGAATGGAAACCTTGAAATTTTAGTGAAGGGCTCACCTTCTTCAACCTCATTTGTGCCATGTATTCAAAAAGATGGTACATCAAATCATCATTTCCATTATATTTTTATTACATGATGGATAAAATTATTTGAAATTGTCACCTCGTTAATTTCCTTCGAGAATGACAGGTGATCATCGTCATTATCCAACTCATGTGATCTTACAGGTCGATCTTCATATTCCTCATACAAAGGAGTGTTACATGAAGTTTTGACTAGGCCTTTGCTCCCCAACCTCACAACAATAGGTTGTCTATACCTCCTACCATGAAAGTTCACCTTAGAGGCAAGCCTCTTCAGTGCGGGCTCATTCACAAGCCGTTCCTTTTGCCTTCTTTTCATCATACTATCACAAGTTTTTAATACTTACAAATTACTTCTATTTCGTGAAAAAGCTAATAATAGGCTCTACTTCATTCTCATCGGTTTTACCCTATAAACTCACTTTCGAATTTTTAAATTTTGCTCGCAGATATGTGTTCTATGTTGTTGGTGCTTTAAGATTTTTTGCCATCTCGTATATCATTTTTCCTGTAGACATCTTCTTCCATAGATGATGGCGTTGAGAGGGAGAAATTCTAGCTAGAAAATTTGTCAGTATTTTTTTCTACTTTCAATTTGAATTTCCATCACCGTTCACTTAATCATCGCTATGCTTCTCTAATCTAAGTTCCAGTGCTTTTACTTCCTCGGGATTCACTTTCGTGTGGCTCATTTTTTTGCAGATTTCAATGATTTCTCAACTTCAATGGACAGATTCGTTGTTTTTTGGCTCAGTTTCCCATAGACGGAATCATTATAAAGAACGACATGTAGCGATCATTTAATATGGATGCATAACTAATTCTATTATACATTCATATATTATTCTTCAACTTACATGTCCTTTATTCATTAGTTTAGAAGCTATGCTTAAAATACTCACAACATGTTTTTATAAAAGTTTCTTTCAACCTGAAATTCAAGAGGGATAATTAGCTCCTCTTTCAAGGGAGCTTTTATGTTTAACTTTCATTAACCTTTACTTATTTCTAAACTTCGCTAAATAGGTACATGAGCTTGTTTGGGTTCATTTTCTTAACTCAATAGTAACCAACTAAATTTACGATTTTCCACCATTCTTTGAGTCCACAAAAAAATGGTAAAATCCAAAGGTACTTAAATAACTGATTTGTGCCATCGTCGCACAATCCACCAATCGATGTACAATCCAAAGACATTATAATTTTGCCCAAAAAACTCATTTCAGCACAACTTTATCTATACAAAAATGTGGATAATCAAAGCTGCCACTCCCTATCTACGTCCACTGCAGTGCTTTTTCGATTGACTCGATGTTTCTTCGTATAAATTCTAAACAAACATTATGATAAGCCAAACCTTTGCTTAAGCCGCCATCTTGAAACCCTTCCAAGATACTAGTGCCCTTCTCCCTCGATGTCCATATAAAAAGAGTAACTACTGCCTTGGCACAATAGCTATTGTTGGATTATCTTTCAGTCTTAGTTCCCTCCTAAACCATAATATACTACTAGCCTTTGATACGGTCCCAAGAATTTCAAATATTCCTAATAGAGAAAAAATAATTCTATATTGGTTTAATTATTGGATTGACAATATTATTTAGACTCGATACACTAATATAGGTTGCATGACGAAAACTATAAACTAAGAAGTTGATTTTGAGCGCCAACAATGTCAATTTTGAACATGGAGATTCTTGGGATGGGGATGGAGATGGGAGATTTGGGGAAGAAGATGATGAAATAATTTTTGTGGTTGAAAAATGAATTTTGGGATTATCCCTTTTTAATTTTGGTGAATTTAACTCTTCTCCTAACGGACTTGGACGACGAGGGTTTTTCTCCTCTCAAAGGTCATACACGGGGGTGTTCTGTCACTTTATAAAGATAGGGTGTATTCCACCATATCCAAAGGATAGGGGAATTTTGTGCCAGTATGTCAAAACTTTAAATATAAATTTTTTAACCTAACTTTATGGTTCTTTTGTGTAATTAAATATACAAAACGAGCTTTAATATTAAAAAAAAAAACTTTAAATAAAAGTATTTTACTTCATGTTATCTTATACTATGGTTGCAACTAATTTGAACTAGTCAAAATTATAATTTTTTATTATTTTTTTTAAATTTGTCTTGTTCATTTATAATCTTTGTAAAATCGTATATCATTAAAATCAAACACGTTTTATACAAAAATCTAAAAGGATAATTTCTTTACACTACCATCTAACTAAAAATAGGGAAAGAATCCTTAACCAATCAGTACAGAGAGGTAAAAAATCTAGTTTAATAACATGTTTGCGTACGATAAATCAAGATTACGTATATACCCTTTGTTTGAAACCAATTTTAATATTAAATTTTGTAAAAAGTTATTTTTTAAAGAGTGTGTAATCAAAAGATGAAACCATTTTGAATTTATTATGTAAAATTATTTTATTAAGAAAAAAGTACAATTAAAAATAAATTTGAAAATAGAAAATGAAACTCGATTCTTTACAAAATGGGTCCAGAAAAAAAAAAAACAAACGTCACAATGACCTGTTTCATTTAGAATTAGAAAAAAGTGCAATTTTTTTCCCGATTCATTCTACAACTCTTAACGCAACTCTTAACTCGTCAAACCTCATGAAGTCATTGCTTCCTTAGCAACAACAAAAACCATAAATACCCAAATTGTATCCCATTTTAACTGGATTCTCCAAAAAAATCCAGCCCGCGACCACTTATTCTCCAAAATCTAGTTCAATTTTCCGCCAAGTTTTGGCATTTGTACTCGTTTGCTGCTCCCTATTAACCAAAACCCTAGCCCTCTAGGGTTTTGTTTTCTGTTTCTGGGTCAAGAATGGAGGATACGGACGAGAGAAAGCTATTTGTGGGTGGTATTTCGTGGGATACGACGGACGAAATTCTTAAAGAGCATTTTAGTAAATATGGGACGGTGATTAGCTCTGTGATTGCAAAGGACCGGAATACGGGCACCCCCAGAGGTTTCGCTTTCATCTGCTTTTCGGAATCTTCTGCCGTTGAGCTTGCACTCCAAGATTCCCATGAAATTCTTAGAAGAATGGTCTGTAGATATTCCACTTTTTTTGTTTACATTTTCCAGTTATTTTTTTTCCTAATAGGGTTCAAGTTTTAATCTTTAGGATTTTTCGATACATGGGTTTTTTTTTTTTTTTTGGTTGTAATACAGTTTAAATTTTGAAATTCATAGGCTTTTCGGTTTGCAAATTGTGGCTTGAACATTTTTTATCCTATATTTTACATATGTACGATTATTTGCTTCTCCTCCCCTCGCCCCACCCTTTCATGATGAGGTGTCATGTATTAACTCCTTTAAGGGTTTGCTGGATGTGCGGTGTTTTCTCCACTTTTTATAAAGAAAGATCCAATTTTTTTTCCTTGGATGCCTAGGTTGTGTTTATCTTTATATTATTTCGCTATTTGTTGGTCGTGTACGTTGCCCCTTATTTCTCATCTTTTATATTTCGTCATTTCTTAATGGAAAAGGGTAAACGTTTAGTTTTTTTCTTGCTTATATTATCTCATGACTCACTGTGTTGATTTTTGTCCTATTTGCTAATTCAGCTCTAAGATTATTGTACATTTTTTTTTTTTAATCCTCCGTTAAGTATAAATAAACAGATATCTCTTCAATGGAAATTTTATTTCTTTTTTGATTCTGTTAAAGATTTTTAATCTTCATTTGATTTACCCTCCCTAGTACTTAAGTTTCTTCTGATTTATTATTGTGCTGAGTTTTGTTAGAGAACGTTGTGTATGCAACACAGTGAAAATTGTGTGTTTAATAAAAGTGTCTTGTGTTATCTTGTATGTTAATTTTTATTTTATGCACTCTCAATTGTTATGAAGCATACTTATGCTAATTGGGTGCCTTCTTTTTATTAAATTTTGTCTGCCATGTCTTTTAATAGGTAGACGTGAAAAAGGCAATTCCCAGAAGTGAACAACAGCAAAGTCAACAGCAGCATAATAGGGGATTGAGTAGGGATACTAGGACTAATGGTAGGAGCAATGATAAGTTTAGGACGAAGAAGATTTTTGTAGGAGGTTTATCAGCTAACCTAACTGAAGAAGAATTCAGAAGTTACTTTGAGAAGTTTGGTACAATTACTGATGTAGTTATTATGCAGGATAGTATGACCCATAGGCCAAGGGGTTTTGGGTTTATCACTTTTGATTTGGAGGATTCTGTTGAAGATGTTATGAAGAAGAACTTTTACGAGTTGAATGGAAAGCTCGTGGAGGTCAAAAGGGCTGTACCTAAGGATGGAATTAGCAGTAGTAACAATGGTTCTAATGGAAGACCAGGTGGTGGAAGTGGCTCTAATTTTAACTCTTATCAGCTAGGAAGTTGCCCGACTTATAACCCGTATTACCCCTCTGGATATGGCAATGTTGCTGGGTACCCTTATGGAACTGGAACTTATGGTGGTGGTTATCCCTCTGGAGGGTATGGTGGACTTGGTTATAATCTCACTCCAATTGCTCCTAGGAGTCCTTGGAATGCTTCTGCAATGATTGGAGTTGGGGGAAGTTTGTTGCATTATGGTAGTACAACTCCCATCTATCCCTCGTACTTGAATGGTGGTGCTGGAGTAATGGGCTTTGCTGTCAATGGATATAATGGCATTTTGGGAACTGGATTCAATGGAAAATCAGCTCAACTTGGTAACACAGATACTCAAGGTGCAGTTGAGCAAATGCCTAGTCAGACTAGTAGGGGTAATGTAGACGATAATTTTTATAGTTCTAGTCAAACTGATGGAGCTGCTGCTGATAAACAGAATCAAGAACGGAATGATGAGCAATTTAATTCTGAGCTGGTTGGTATTTCTAGCTGACTGCTTGTGGATATTGACAGGTTAGTAGTTTCTCGCATTGAGGGGGTTGGGGTTGACTTGCTATCATTATTCAGATGTTCTTTCATTATGTGTATTTTTAATTCTTATAAAGATTTGGCTTGCATTGTGTCATATTTAGTGTCAATAATTCATGCATTCAGGATTCAGACTACTGTATTAGAATTCTTTTATGTTTAAATGTTCATGGTGATTTTCCATTCTCACTGGTAAAATATTGGTGGCGATTCCCTTGGAAATCAAAGGTTTTCCCAATGGGAACTGGTTTCTGCAGTTTAGCGTTTGTAACGTGTGCTGGTTTTAGTCCATCTTTATTTAACAATTCCTTTTCTTGTTATTACAGTTATTTTTCTAATTCCTGAATTTTTCTATCTTTTTTGCTTCCTCCGGGTTTTCTTATCAGCTGCTAGGTAATTTTTCTAGATGTTTGATCTGGTTACACTTGCAATATTCAAATTATAACTATTTTGCTATATTTGGTCCGCATGTTTACTTGCATCCTATGCAATTAATAACACTGTTCTTAAAATTATGTTCAAAGTTAGAATTACCTATTTTTCTATAACTTACTCCGTTTTGGGAAATCTATGTATCATTTATAAATGATCAAATTTCATCTTCAACCACATTCAAATTGACCATCAAGTACCATCTACTTATTCACCACTCATTTCTATCTATTTATAAATTAAACTGTTTATAAATTATCCTCCAAATGGATGCTTAGAGATTCTTTTGTGATTCTTCAAAACTTGGTTGTGTCATCATCTCTTCCCTTTAAAGTTACCTATTTTTATCTCAATAACTCAAATATTTTTGTTTTAGGTCATGAAATGTTTGAAATGTGCTTGTACTTGTTGGAGGGTTCCAGCCTTTGCGTTCTTGTTGGCTGGTTAAACTTTTACCTGTAATCTCTTACTATGCTGTTTTATGTAATTCCTTATTTTATTTCTTCCTGAGCTGAGTTGATTTTGATTGTTGGCTAGATAGTTCTTGTTGGATTAAAATATTGAATTATGACTGTTAACCAAAAAAGGGTGAATGAATTCTTGGTTGTTTAGAATAATTTGCTTCATCTTGTCGAGATATGTATTCAATATCTGATAGGTGGGGGTGGTTGTGGGGGGTGGGGGCGGGGGGGCTCA